TATTTTGATAAGGTCTCTGTTTTTTCTTCCTGGTAAGAAACTAGTTTCAATTTTTTTCTTTTTTAACAATAAAAGTTTTTAAACATTTTTTCATTTTTAAAAATTACTTTTATTATTTCAAGATACAGTTCATAGGACCTGGGATTTCCCTTACTCATTTCCAACATCCCATCCCAGCCCCTCTAAATCCCCTATATTATTACTATAGTACAGTTTTTCGTAAACTGTCATATGTCCATCATTGTGGACAAGGACAATTGCATAGAATCCAGCATCATATTATCTAGATATAGCTAATAGTTTTGTTGGGAGTCCATCTTTGATCTGGAAATAAAGATGCATACTGCATTGTAACCTGACATTTGTATATGATAGTCTCCATTACATAGTTAAAAGAGATTAAAAATACCATGAAGTTAAATAACATGTTAATGGATGACTAATGTGTCACTGAAGAAATGAAAAAGACAATCAAAAACCTTCTTGAAGAAAATGATGCTACTGTGTGATCTATGAGTCAGTGAAGGGTTTAATGAGAAGAAAAACTGTTTTGAAAGAAAAGAAACTTTAAAAAACCCATCAAAATCCATTAGATACAGTTTCTGCTGCTCTTTGTTGGTGAGATATGTCTACAAATCGATGGGTTTTGCTTTTTTAATCCAGTCTATTAATTTATGACATTTGATTGATGAGTTTAAGCCATTTACATTCAGGGTTAATATGAATGGGTGGCAATTTAGCAATGTCATTTTAGCAATGTGTTGTTCATTGATTTCATCTTCTGTTGTTATTTTACTGGGATGTTTTTCACATTGGCCTTTCATTTTGGTGGGCGTTATCCCTTTTCTCTGTCAAGAGGACATCTTTAAGTATCATTTGTAGGGCAGGTTTGGAAAAGGCATATTTTTCTAACTTTTCTTCACTGTGGAAGAATTTTACCTCCTTTTCAAGACAAAGGACAGCTTTTCTGGGTACCTTATCTTGGAACAACAATTTTTTGCTTTTAGAATCTGGAATATGTTGCTGCATTCTCTTCTTGCCTGTAGAGTTTCCTGGGAGAGGTCTCCTGTGAATTTGATTGGCATTCCTTTATATGTGAATTGATTTTTTTCATGTGCACATTTAAGGATCTTTTCCTTATGTTTGATTGAACAGAGCTTGATTATTATGTGTCATGATGAAGATCGCTTTTGATCAACCATGGTGGAAGTTCTGTGATCCTTCCTGGATGTTATTCCACAATTCTTTCTCCAGATTAGAAAAATTTCCCTTATTATTTCATGGAATATACCCTTAGTCCCAGTTTCTCTTTCTGCACCTTCTGCAACTCCCATTGCTCTTATATTTGACCTTTTAATAGTGTCTTTCAATTTTTGAATACTTTTTTTTTTAGCTTGAGCCAGCTCTACTTCCAGATTTTTTATTGATTCCTCTTGGTGACAAGAAGTATCTTCCAATTCTGAGATTCTTTCTTTTGCCTCCTTCATTCTATTATTGAGTCTTTTCACTGAATTTTTAATTCACTGTATTGTGTGCTTCATTTCCAATAATTCATCCTGATTTTGTTTCAGTGTTGCTATTTCCTGTGTGACATATTCTTTAAATTCCTTGAACTCATGTGCTTCTCATTGTTAATAAGAAGCTTCATAATGATTTTTCTGAATTCTATATCCCCATTTTCTTGATGTATTCCTCATCTAACTCTGAGGTTGGCAAACCTCAAAGGCTTTTGCTCCTTGGCAGGGGAGTCTTCAGTAATATTCATTGCACCTCTGTCTCTTCTTTTGCTCTTGGCTATTGTATTTCTGGTTAACAAATTCTTCTGCTTGGGGGAAGGTTTCTAAGCTGTGTCACCCATAGATCTACAATTCAAATTTTCATATTGTGGTTGGTACATACAGTTACTTGTGCCACTCCCTCCAGTGAGTTCCAGGTTTGGGTTCTTATGTTAGACTTCCACCATGGTCTCTGTAGTCCCAGCTCCTGGCTCACCACTCTCCTGTCATACCATGCTGAGGCTGCACCACTGTCTGTACAACCCTTCTCCCACCTTCAAATTGAGCAGTTTCCAAGATTAGGGAGACACCAGGTATCCTATATAGCTAGATTGTTATTGGGGCTGATCTTGCCAGAACCTGTTGGCCGTTAGGTCTGAGGGCCAAACAGACCTATTTTGAATCATAAGATGCTAAAATCAGTATTATTTTCAATGTAGGATCAGTGCAGTGCCCTGAGCTGAGTGAGTTCGCTTCCAGCTCAGCACATGCACAACTTACTCTTGTCCCTGCAGTTATTCTCTTGCCCCTCTGTACAAAGTGGCACCTGATGTGCCACTTGTGGAGGCTTGGATCTGCTGGTTGTACATCTGGGGAATACCTAGACCTTTTTGGTGTGGAACCTGTAGTTTGCTAAATCAGTGCTATGCACTGAGCCAGAAATTCATTAGCTCCCAACTTGGTCCATGCACAATCTTGTCCCATGGTATTTGCTTTCCTACCAAAAATGGTGCCCGATTCAGCTCTAGTGGTCTGAACTGTGAAATTTGCCCTGTTCCTGCACCACCTGTTTGAGGTCTGCTTCTCTCTCTCTCTGCTTCTGGTTAAAGCAAACAAACTAGCAGGACGGGCAGTTCATTGGGTTCGCCTCTGGAATTCCGGAGAACTCTCTTTTCCACCTTGGTTGCTTGTGGAGCTGTAGGCTGGTGATGCTCTGGCCACTGGTAGAGTTCAGATTACTGCTTGCTGACTGCTGCTGGGGTATCTGGTCATTGCAATACCACACTATTGTTTACACTGTTTTCCTGTGTCTGTCAGTCTCCAGGTGCCCCTCTGCCATCTGTCCTTTCCTATTTCCTGGAATGTGCCCTCTTTGCTTCGCTCTAGCTAATGTTTCTCCATCTGTTTAAATGTGTCCTAGCCATGTTCCACCATTTTGATTCTCCTCTAATTTTATTTTTTTAATGTTTTAACGTTTTTATTTTTGGCTGATTAGCGTGGGAAGAATTGAGGGTTACGGAAAAGGGGTGTAATCATTGTTTCCAAATTTTCTAATTCTTTCTTCTGTATCTGGGGGAAGGAAGACCATAAAAGGAGAACCCAGCCTCCCTACCATCTCAGTACACAGTGGTAGGGAACTGCCACCCAGTATCAATCCAGGGTCCCTAATATGGCACATGCTCTGAGTGTTCTGCCCAAGTGTTTTTGCTGGTTTTGGAACACTGTTGATCTTACCGATCCAGCAGTGAGGAACCCTTCCAGGGTCCATTGGTTGACATAGTCCAACTTAGAGTCTCCATTTGCTCAGATATTTGCTGTCATCATTGGCCTGGGGTAGTTGTCCAGTTTGTGCTGTTCTCCTTCCTCTGCTATGCTACCAGATATCCTCTGCAGATCCAAATGGGCTGCCATATATTCTGAGCCAACCATCTACTGCTCTGACTTCTCCACTGAGGAGGCTCAACTCTGACACATGAACTCTGCCTTTGGATCACCAACCCTGGATGTGAGACCCCCAGACCCTCTCATGCCCCACCTATGCCATTGCCAGATCCCTGCAAACCCACACATCAAATCTCCACAAATGTGTCCCTGGGCAGCCAGTAAGCTTCCCACAGTACCACTGGCACTCTGGGCCACCTGACCATGGCCCCACAGGACACCTGTCCTGAGGCTCATTGACCCAGCACCCACTGCATAGGTGGGTCCAAACACCCAGTCCAGATGACCTGAGCCCCATCAGACCCCCCCCCATGCCTGGTACTCATGGACCTAACACCCACTGTGCAGGAGGGCCCGGGGACCCCCTGGTCCCAAGGCTCATAGAGAGGCACAAACACCTGGGCCATGCAACACAAATTCCACTGGACCCCAGGCCCCTGGGACTCACAGACCCGGCACCTGCTGTGCAGGTGGGTCCAAGGACCCAGGGCATGTGACCCGGGCTCGGCTATACCCCTCTAGTTTCAATTTTTAAAAAATTCTCTACCCTTCCTGTTGTCTTTGTCTCTTTAATGTTGAAGAAAATACCTCTTAGACCCGGTGCAATAGTGTAGTGGTTAAAGTTCTTGCCTTGCAAGCCTGGGATCCCATATGGGCTCCGGTTCTAATCCCGGTGGCCCCGCTTCCCATCCAGCCTCCTGCTTGTGGCCTGGGAAAGCAGTCGAGGACAGCCCAAAGCCTTGAGACTCTGCACCCGCGTGGGAGATCTGGAAGAGCTCCTTGTTCCTGGCTTCAGATTAGATCAGCTCCAGCCGTTGCGGCCGCTTGGGGAGTGAGCGCTCGGACAGAAGATCTTTCTCTCTGTCTCTCCTCCTCTCTGTATATCTGCCTTTCCAATAAAAATGAATCTTAAAAAAAAAAAAGAAAAAATACATCTACTATCTGGAGGCCCTTAGTTGTCTATTCATATGTAAAAGTGACACACCAAAAACAAGCCAGAAGATCTGTAGGTTTGGCTAAGGTCATCCACTGGTAAATTTTATCAAAGGAGACCAGATTGTGTTGGTGTGGGGAATCCGAATATCAGCATCTTCAAATGTTTTGTTGGGACCATTCATTTTGTTCAGAGATTGACAAACTTGGTTTGTGGGGTGACTAACTGCAGCTCTGCTTTCTTTTTGTCCTTTATGAGGGCAATGGGGCCAGGGACCAGGGTGAGGGAAAGCAAGATGGTAGCAAAGTCAATTCCAGTCTTTCCTTTGACCTGCACAAGGAATTTATGTGTACATGAGTGCTCATGCTGTCAGTCAGTTGTATTTAATCACAGGCTACACACATACACACACACACACCAGCACAGGTGCATGCACAGATTGGAAACTGCCTGCACACAGAAGCCCATGCCATATTTGTTTGCTCACACTGGTCACCAGGAGTAAAGTACTCAGCACATTTTATCATGTGTCCCATTGGTGGAGGCCATTCAGGACAGGAGAATGGGAAGGTTATGAAGTTAAAAAGAGAAATGAAACAGGAAAGTCCTGCCCTGTCAGCAATCCCTGTGGTATAAGAAATGGGCTATGGACAGACAGACAGACTCCTGGGTCTGTTGGCATTCACCATGTCCAGGAGACTTCTCATTTTCTGGCTGGCGATTGGGATTAAGTGGCTTTACCTGAGTGAGTGTTCCAGAGCCTTCCTTGGAAGGCTTGTCATCCAGCATGGCTTTCTGTGTGCTGCTTGTGCCTTAGTAGAGCAGAAGCCCACTTCCTTCTAGCCTCTCTCCCCCTCCCCACAGGCTTACTGTTTGGAAGCTTTCTCCTCTGCTTGGTTATGCTGGGGTTAATCTGAAGTTGAACCTGACTGGGAGGTTTTTAAGGTGTAACAGTTTATTCTTAAATTCGAAATGGCTGTTCAGGAATAAGTGGTCAGGTAAAACAGAGAAAATGTTTCCTCTGCTGGGGTTGCTTCCATGAGAGTCAGGGATGTTTGTTTTGATGTAAGTTCTTGTTATGATTTTCATTCTTGTCTTCCTTTGCAGCACTCTTTTGTTGTTTTGTTTTGTTGGGGTGCAGCCACAAGATGAGCTTTCTCTGCTGCATACTGTTTCAGGTGTTGAATATGGCCAGTGCCCACACTTGGGTTGGGCAGGTGGGGACCTTCTCATCCTAGCAGTGTGCCGTGCAGGCAGCTCCTACTCACTAGCCATTGACTAGGACTAAATCATCCCAGCTCTGCCACACGTGAAATGAGGGCTCTGAATGTGGTCAGTTTTAACAACCTATGATTTAAGAACTAGACAGTATTTAATGATCCTTGCAGTTTTAGAAATTCCTTGCTGGTGTCTCATGAATCTTTCAAATGTGCTACATGAGAAAGCATCTATATTTTTAAGGAAAACAAATGTGATCTTTTTCCTCTCACATCAATATCACACTGTCTTCCCTTGTAACTAACTCCCTGCAGCTTCTCCTGGTCACCTAGTGGCTTCTAGACTGGCTGACGTGTTTGTGCTGAGTTCTCATCCTCTCTGGTATACCAGTACTAGAGAACTGGTCACCTGGTCCATGCTTTCTTAAGTGCCCTTTTTGCCAAGACACCCTGGAGGCTCCAGGAGGACCAACGCTTTATTTCTTGTTGCTTTCTAGCACCCAGTTCTGTGTATAGTATGTGATAGATTACTCAAGAAATAATCATTAGGGGCTGGAAGCAGTCTGTGTTACTTGCATACGTTGGTGTGAACACATTGTAATTGGATGTAAAAAACTAGCATCTTGCACAGTGTTAGTAACTGGCTTTTGTCTTGTCCCAGAACCTTGGGGCTTTGAGGATTTTATGGTGGCAAAAATTACTGTCCACTTGCACTGCTACTGCTAGGACACGAGTAGAGTGGACTTCTCCAATTCTGCTTGTAAGGGGCTGCACCTGGTGAACTGAATCTACTTTTGGATTTATTTTCATGTGTTCTTTTCTAAAATGCCAAATTATAAGACAGTAACTGCTTGGATTCACTGTGTGTGCTCCGTCTAGATGCCTAATCAACCCCTCACCCTGCGGAGGGGCAGCTGAGAGCGTGCGGTGGAGCGGCTCTGCTTAAGGGCCTCCGCTGCAAGCAGAGATGGTGCCAGAGCCTAGTGGTACCCGCTCTTAGTCCTTCTAGAGGAGGGAAATGGATTTCATTCCAAGTATTGCCTTTTGCTGCTGAAACCGTATCATATCCTATTTCTAAATTCTCATGGGCGTGCTTTCCTTTATACTGTTTTACTAATTTCATGTAGCGCAGGAGGCTTCATCTCATGTGAACCTTAGCAGCATTTCTGGGGTGAGTATTATCCTCTTTGTTTTGTGGTAATGATTACTGTGGCTTTCCTCCAAGAACAAAAAAGCAGTAGTGAGAAGAATAAGATTTACAATGTAAGCTTAATGGGTGTTTTTCTGCCACACCAAACTGTCTGCTTCCTTTTTTTTTAATATTAATTTTTAATCAGATGGGTAATACAAAAACACTTTCAGTGGAAAAAAAATTGAAATGTTATAAAACTCACATCTCTGGTGCTTTCTGCTCTGAATCCCAGTCCTGTTTCCTCTGATCAGGGAGGCACCTGACAATGAGTGTGGGCTCCATCTCACCAGATGCTTTTCTATGCATTTATCTGAGCCCAAGGAGACATGCGAAATGTTTTCATTTATTTAGCAAAAGGGGTTTTATATTTTATGTGTTATTCCAGAATTCTTCATTTTCTTTCATTTGAATGTCTTGTAACTTTCATGTTAAATCATGTAGATCTGTCTAACATATTTCTTATAAAAGTCCATGGAATAAACACAGAATAGTTTGGCAATGAATATGGTGCTGTCTACCCCATTCACATACATAGGAAGGCTGCAACAGACGTTTGCAAGAGGTGTCTTCATGCACATGGGTTGTTTGGGGTTTTTTGTTTTGTTTGTGTTTTTTCTGGCTTGGATAACCAAAGTGAAATGGCTAGGACATATGCATATTTAATATTAATGGGAGGTGCTAAATTACCCCAGAGGGTGGTGGCTGGAATTGTTCTCATCCTCATTTTACTCCAGTTAACTCCAAAGGTTAAGTCCTTTCCCACATCTTTTCTGGCAATGAATGGTAGCCTGGTTTACTAACCTGCTAGCCAACACTAGGTAGTATCAGATAGTATCAGTCTTTTTTTTTTTTACCAGTAAAATGGGAGAAGTGTATTGGCTTATGGCTTATTTCTCATTGATGAATTGCCTAATATGTCCTTTTTTCCCCTTTTTTGCTTTTTTTGGTCTTCCTGAATAGTATCTTTAAATATCAATTTAGTACTCTGGAAAACGAACTTCTAAATATCTAGTAGAAATCATTCTTGTGCATATTTTAAAAGTTTACCAAATATTCATTGAAACAAGCTCATACTTAGGTAGTTGTTCGTTGAAGCACATGTGTGTAGGTTAACAATGCATCTGAGGCTGATAGCAATGCCCTTCTGGTGTTTTGCCTGGTTTCTTATGGACACAAAGTGGGCTTCTTACAGCATTATATCCATGAGACATTCCTGTTGGACAAAGTGAAAAGACTGAGTCCAGGAAAGGAAAGAAATGGGGAATGACTTTTCCTATTAAAGCCATCTGGGTAAAGCTCAGGAAGCGTGACTTTTTAGCATCTGGGTAACTTTTGGGTTTCATGCCATCTGCCACCAGAGCGGAAAGCTGAATGCTTCTGGCAGCAGAGTCACAAAGCACCATGGCACTGATGGCCATGCCTCACAACTCAGCCAGCAGCAGGGTGAGCCACGTCAGAGAATGGAGAATCTCAAAGGAAGGTACCTTGGAGAGAATCATGAATGGTAACCCAAGCTGGGGAGTTTGGATGTGGTCCTCACCATTTAGGAACTACAGCTTGCCAGGGTCTCACCTCAATGGCATTTGGGTTAGGAGTTAAAACAATTGCTGATCCCTAATTGAACAAATGGGCTTGAGCTTTGCAATAGTGAATATATTTCACAAAATATCAGAAATGAAAATGCTCTTAGAAGAGCTAATGTAGTGGTTTACATATGCTGGGTAAGAGGGTTCAGCTACAGTAGAACAACCTAGAACTTGATTAATGTACATATCCATGAGTGTTGGCAGTAGAGGTCTGACTCAATATTGGGTAATAACATATACTGTCTTAACAAGCTACCCAGGTTTTGCTGATGAGTGGCCAAAGTTGGGAAACATCTATATTTCATTTTTAGTGTTCAAGCATTCCATTTCGCATTGCTTAATGTAGTAAACCTCAGGCCTCCAGCATTTTTTAAGTTACACTGCTATTACGGATAATTCCTATGACCCATATAGCTCTGACATTTCAAAATAAGTATTCTACTAAGTGAAACAAGCCAGAAATAGAAAGACAAATACTGTCACTTATGTGCAGAATCTAAGCAAGCCAATCTCGTAGAAGCAAAGTGATTAGCAGAGGAAGATGATGGGAAAGGGAGAGATGTCAATCAAAGACAACAGACTGTCGGACTGAAATCTTGAGTTTTAGGCATCTATTTCTCTGCATGGTTTCTAGAATTAATAATACTGTTCTGCATATTTCAAAATTACTAAAATAGGGGCAAGCTTTTAGGGCAGTGGGTTAAGCCACCTCTGATCCTGGCATCCCATGTCAGAGAACCAGGACAAGTCCTGGCTGCTCTGATTCTGATCCAGCTCTCTGCTGATGAACCTGGGAGAGCAATAGATGAAAGATCCACTCCTGGGACCCCTGCCATCGTCATGGGTCACCTGCATGGAGCTCTGTACACCTGGCTTCAGCCTAGCCTTGCCCTGGCTGTTGCATTTGGGGAGTAAAGTTGAAGAGAGATTTCCTTCTCTCTCTTCTTCTCTTTCTATAATGCCTTTCAAATAAGATAATTTCAAAATATTCCTTAGAGGCTGTATTTTTAAAATGTTCACTCTATAAAAGAAAATGAAGTTGATGAACTTATGGATATGTTACTGAACCTAATTGAATCCTCTATAACATATGCATGGATCAAAACATCACATTGGATCCCGTAAGTTATATAGTTACTGTTTCCTCAGTGGAAAATAAATAATTCCTGAACTGCACTTAAATTTATATTTTTAAAATTCTTTTTATTATTTTCCAGGATGTTTTTGTAGGTACAGGGATTTGCTCCCCTTCCCTTCCTTTTCCCGCCCTCAATTTCCCCTCCTCATCTCCCCCCATATTATTACAGTTGTAACAGTTACAAGTTTAACATTCTGCTACTTAAGTGTATCATGGAATTGTAGGCATAGACAAAGATAGAAAATCTAGTATCATATTTTCAAGGTATATTAAACTGTCTCACTGGGAGTCTGCCTTCTATTTGGAAGTAGAATTGCCTATTGCAACATATGTTCACTTCCTGGTATGCTAGTCTCCATTTTACAGTTCGTTTTTGAGGATATATGTATATACTTATTATTCTGTATATTTGTTTCATATTTTGCATGAATGCTGATTTATATCAGAGAGAACATACTCTATTTGTCCTTTTGAACTTAATGACTTCTAGGTGGGACCATTTTGTTGCAAGTGATAGAATTTTATTCTTTTTAATGGTTGAGTAATATTCCATGGAATAGATATACGAAGTTTCTTTACCCATTCCTGTTTTGATGGATATCTGGATTATTTCCCTGTTTTCACTATTGTGGATTCTGCTGCTATACATAAAGTGTTGCAGGTCACTTTCCACATGCAGATTTTACTTCCTTTGGTTATATTCCCAGGAGTGGGATATAGCTAGATCATATGTTAGATTTATTTTCAGTTCTCTGAGTGCACTCCATACTGATTTCCATAGTGGCTGCACTAACCTACACTCCAAGGAACAGTGGAGCAGAGTACCTTTTTCCCTATGTTCCCATCAGTAAGTGTTGTTAGTAGATTTTTGAATATAGGCCATTCTCACTGGAGTTCGGTGGGACCTCAATGTACTTTTCTGTTTGTTTGCTTCTTTGTTTTGCATTCCCTTAATAGCAAAGGAGCCGGGGCATTTTCTTATGCATTTATTAGCCACTTGAATTTGTTCTTTTTGGAAAATGCCTGCTCATTTCCTTCACCATTTCTTAACAGGGTTGTTAGTTTTTGCTATTGTTGAATTTCTGAAGCTCTTTGTAAATTCTGGATATTAGTGCCCTACCTGTAGTGTATTGTGCAAGGATTTTCTCCCATTCTGTGGGTAACCTCTTCACTTTGTTGATGGTTTTCTTTGTTGTATAGAAGCTTTTTATGTTGATGTAGTCCTGTTTATTTATTTTGGTTTTGACTGCCTATGCGTTTGGTGACTTTTCTAAGAAGTTTTTGGCTAGGCCTATATCTTGTAAAGTGCTTTTGTGTCTAATTCATGATGTGTCACAGCAAGCCAATTGTCCAGAAGATTGTGTTTAGGTACTTTTTATATGATTCAGTGAAATTGGGTTTTAGGATCAGGGTTTTTCATTTGAGTTTCTTCAACGGCGCTCCAGATGCGAGAGTGTTTATATCAGCAAAGTTGCTTAGCTGTGGAGGTGAGTTTAGATACTCAAATCGTCAACTATCTCTTCCCAGCAGACAGAGCCTGGGGAATCAGGGGCTTGACAGAGTTCAAAGATACGCTAAATTTAAGCTGGAAAATGTTACAGAGTGTAATGCGCTGCCTCTTCCTGGAAGCATCTGATAGTACACGAACTGCATAGCCTGTCGGGAGATGTAGGCACTGTGTGAACTGCTTCTCTTCTTGTCCCTCACAGCATCAGCTGCATCAGAGATAGTCCAGACTGGAGTTTTGGGCAAGTCAGTGACTTTGCCCTGTACGCATTCATCTTGGTCTCGCAGCAGCAACAGCATGTGCTGGGGCAGAGGACCATGCCCCAATTCCAAATGCAACCAGGAGATTCTCCACACTGATGGAACAAAGGTGACCTCACCTAAATCATCAAAATACAGGCTTTTGGGGAATATCCAGAGAGGTGATGTCTCCTTGACCATCTTCAATACCAATGAAGATGACAGTGGAGTGTACTGCTGCCGCATAGAGGTACCCGGCTGGTTCAATGATGTGAAGAGGAATGTTCGTCTGCAGCTAAAGAGAGGTGAGTAAATGGAGGGCTTGTGTTGTACTCAAGGAGACTCAGTTACTAATGGGGCAAATTTAATGAGTAGTGGGAAAGGATTTTTACTTAAGTAGTGAGTGGAAGATTCCCTTTGAAGTGAGAAGCCATAGAGCAGGCAGCTGAGTTTCAAAAGCCTTGAAGCCCAGAAAGACACAGAAATGGAACAGTCCAGGAGGGAAGGAATTGCAGGGTCAGTCTGAACAGAGCAGCTTGTGCTCACCCAGGAAGGGCTCACCTGGAAGACTTGGGCCTTATGTTTTTATAGCTCCCTATTTTCATTTGAATTATGTGGCAATATTTTGCTGTTTGCATGCTTTAAAAACATGTAAAGGAAATAATATATATCCGTGGCTTAGCTTTAGCTTGTAAGCTGATAGTTTGGTACTCATTAATAAGGGAAAGGACATGAGGTTTGGGCAGTCTTGGCAGTTTTTTAGAAGAGGAGAATGAGCTTGATTGGGTCTGAGTAACTCCAACTGAACTTTTTCTTTTTTAAAAAAATCGAGATTTTATTTTATTTGTTATTGTATTTTTATTTAAAAGGCAGAGTTATAGAGTGAGAAGGAGAGAAAAAAAATAGAGAGAACAAGAAGGAGAAAGGGACTGGGGGTGGGGAGACAGAGAGAGAGGTCTTACAACCGTTGGTTCACTCCCCAAATAGCTGCCATAGCCAGAGCTGAACCAATTGCAGTCAGGAGCCTGGAGCTTCTTCCTGGTCTCCCACATGGATGCAGGTGTCCAAGGACTTGGGCTATCCTCTGCCGATTTCCCAGGGCATCAGCAGGGAGCAGTATAGCAACTGGGACTTTAAGGAGCTCTCATATAGGATGCCAGCTTCACAGGCAGAGGATTAGCTGGCTATGCCACTGTGCAGGGACACTAAAGTCTTCCCTTTTCAAATATGTCATATCCAGTAATTATTTTATAAAATATTTGTTGACCCAAGTAGTCTGTGAGGTCATTTACAATGGAACGAAATGATAACTTTATGTCCATTATAATCCATGGAAATTTGTTATTTTCCAGAGAAGATGAGATCTGTAGAATAGACTGTGGAGGTTAAACCTAGTTTTAATTGCCTAATCAACCTCAATTCAGGTGCGGCCACGAACCAGTTTAATACCTGAAAAAATACATTCTCAGGCCCGGCGCCATGGCCTAGCAGCTAACGTCCTCACCTTGAACGCGCCGGGATCCCATATGGGTGCTGATTCTAACCCTGGCCCATCCAGCTCCCTGCTTGTGGCCTGAGAAAGCAGTCAAGGATGGCCCAAAGCCTTGTGACCCTTCACCCGCGTGGGAGACCCGGAAGAAGCGCCTGGCTTCTGGCTTCAGATTGGCGCAGCACCGGCCGTTGCAGTCAATTGGGAAGTGAATCATCAGACTGAAGATCTTTCTCTCTGTCTCTCCTCCTCTCTGTATACATCTGACTTTGCAATAAAAATAAATAAAATCTTTAAAAAAAAACAGTACATTCTCACACCATGTTGCATACTCTGAGGCTAATTTGGATTAATTTGTTCATTTACACATTCCTTTTATATCCATACAAATGTTTTAGGAGCTCCTACTATGTGCCAGGTACTGTGATAGGAGCTGCATTTTTAGCAGAGAACAAAATAAATTCCAGATTTTTTTTTTATGGTGCTTACATTCGAATGGGAGAAGCAGCCACTGAACAATAAAAATCAAATGTGCAGTTAGGCAGCGCATACATGCTGGGAGTATAAAACAGGAACGCACTTCACAGAGAAGCTTTATAGTTAGTGCCGAGTCTGTGTGCTTCGTTACAAAAGTGGCTTTTCAGCTGAGACCCGAGGCTAACAAGGAGTCGCTCAGCCTTGGCCGTGAGTGAGTTGGAAGCAGCGAGTCCAAGTTGCTGTGGCTGGAAGATCTGTGATCAAAGAACTGAAGCAAGGCTGGCTGGTTTAGAAAATGTGGGGAGAGGGAAGTGGGGACATGAGACAGGAAAGAAGGCAGGGTTGAGGCAGAAGACCTCATGGGCCATGAAACAGGATTGGGCTCTTAAGGGCAAGGAAGATCCTGTACAAGTTTTAAACAGGGAGTATATATAATCCGACTTTTTCATTTTAAATACTGACTTTAGTCAAAGTGTGAAGTACAGATTGGAAGAAATGGGAATTGAAGAAGACACAAAATTGTATTTCGCTTGAATTTTTAAGTGCCTATTTATTTTCATTTACTTGAAAGGCAAATAGTGAGTGGCAAAGAGAGAGGGAGAGAGGGAGGGAGCAAAGGAAAGAGGAAGGGAGGGAAGGAGGGAGAGAGAGAGAGAGAGAGAGAGAGAGAGATTTTATCTGTTTGTTCATTTCTCAAATGCTTTCAACAGCCAGGGCTGGACCAGGCTGAAGCCAGAAATCCAAACTCCATCTTGGTCTCCTGTGTGAGTGGCAGAGCCAAAGCACTTGACACATGATTTGTTGCCTTCTAGGGTACCTGTAGTGAGCAGCTGGATCAGAAGCTGAGGAGCTGAGGGTTGAACCCATAATCTGATATGGATGTGAGTGTCCTGAGTGGCAGCTTAACTCACTTTGCCACGATGCCCACACCAAGGAATCCAGAATCAGTGGGCAGTACTATGGACCAAGAGAGGGCAGCTGAAAGCAGCATAAATGGTCAGATTGCAGATACGAATTTGTGGAAAATGGCAGCAAACAATGGATTTATTTTGGTATTTGCATTTTTGAAATTCATAAACTTCAGAAGGTTCATGGAAAATTCATATTATGAAAAATAATATATGGTGTCCAAAAAAATGGTATCAAAGTAAGATACCTTGTTACCTTCATTTTTCCACAAGATTTTTGAGATATCCTGGCATTTCCTTTTCCTTGTTCTTTTCTTGACATCAATCATGCCTTTTTTTTTTTTACCTTCTGTTGCTTGTAGCACCCACAACCACTCGCCGAACGACAACCTCTCGTCCAACTACCACCCCCCGTTTGACAACAACTACTACAGTGCTTCCAACCACAGTTGGGACTAACCCCGACCTCACAAGTGGGACAACACTACAGACAACCACTGCTCTCCTCACAACAGTGACAACCACACCCCCTGCTACAACCCTGGCCTCCCTTCCAGAGACATCCACAGGGCCCCTGACCACTGGCACAGAAGGGCCCATTCTCGCCCCAGGTATGTGGAGCAATCGGCCTTTCTATGTGTCTTGCTGGCAGATGTGTCCTGGGCTCCTGAGAGCAGGTTTCTCTCACTAAAGTAGTCAACCTAGCTACTTGCTCCTTGAGTGTGTGTGTGTGTGTGTTGGTTTGCTTTGTTGGTGTGTGTGTTGGTTAGACACATCATAACAAATACCACAGGCTAGGTGACTTAAGTGACAGAAGTCTGTTATCTCAAATTTATGGAGACCAGCAGGTCAAGGTTAATGTGTCAGTTGGTTCTTTTTTCTGTTGTTGAAGGTTGTGGTCTCTATAACAACCCTATTTCTGTATTTATTTGAGTTACAGAGAGGGAAGGAGAGATGCAGCAAGAGATCATTGCTGATTCACCCCCTGAACGGTTGGGCCAGGCCAAAGCTGGGAGCCAAAAGCTTCGTCGGATGTAGGGACCCGAACCCTTGGGCCATCTGGGTCTGCTTTCCCAGGCACATTAACAGGGAGCTGGGGCAGAGGCACAGCAGCCTGCAGTCCAACTGGTAGCCCGATGGCATTCTGGCTTTACAGGTGTTGGCTTAACTCGCTACACCACAATGTCCGTTGGTTTCTTCTATGTCCTCCTTCTCGGCTTGTGGACGGCAGGCTCCACCCCCGCGTGGACTGCATGGGGCCTTCCTCCCTCCTTTGTCCTAATCTGCTGCAAGGATGCCATTTATACTGCATTAGATTCTATCCATATCACCTCCTCCTGTCTGAATTATCTCTTTAAAGGGTATTCTCAAAATTCACATACTCTGAGGGTTATCTGAACTGTAAAGGGACACAATTCAGTCCACAATAATGTGCGCATGGGGGTGGGAGGTGGGGCGGGTACGGCTAAGGTTTCACAATTGGTCCTTTTCTTGCTTTATGGTTTTGTCTGTCTCTCTGTCTCTCTTTCTCTCTGTTTCTCTCTTTCTCTCTGAATAGGCAGTACTTCTGGTTCTCCAGCTGACTTCTTGGCCCAGTACCTAGTATCTCTCACAAAGTGATTAGCTCCATTGCTTGCAGGATTTATCAAACTCCCACCATATTCCAACCTCAGACTCCAAACTGAAAAGCATCCAAAAGCACTCATAAGACGGCTCGAAGAAGGTTTTATTTGCCTCAGTAAGGTCTGGATAACTCCATTAACTTTATTTTTTTTATTTTTTAGAGTTATTTTATTTTTATTGCAAAGTCAGATATACAGAGAGGAGAGACAGAGAGGAAGATCTTCCATCTCCCCAGGTAGCCTCAATGGCTGGAGCTACACCAGTCTGAAGCCAAGATCCCAGAGCCTCCTCTGGGTCTCCCACATGGGTGCAGGGTTCCAAAGCTTTGGGCTAGCCTCGGCTACTTTCCCAGGCCACAAGCAGGAAACTAGATGGTAAGCAGGGCCACTAGGATTAGAACCAGTACCCATATGGGATCCTGGCGAGGACTTTAGCCACTAGGCTATTGCACTGGGCCCTTCAGCTATCTTTTGTCAACTGTTTTTTTTTTTTTTTCTTTTTCAGAATCAGAAACGTTTTTTGCCTCTGGTGACTCATGGACCAGTGTTGGGATAACTTCAGCAGGCACTCCATTGCTCTCCTCCAAAGGTGGGTGGACACTCACTCCCTCTCTTTCCTCCCCCTTGGACAAGGAGGGAAAACACTGAGTGAACGTGATATTGAACCAGGTGACTGGGCATGGTATTGATCCTTTGTGCCATGAAGACAACCTGGGCAAACTGGCATCAGGGCAATGTTTGTGGCTTGCTCATTTCTATGATAGAGAGAGGAGAGAGGAGAAAGAGATGTGGGTGATTTTTTTTTAAGTTATATTTATTTATATTTTTTGAAAAGCAGGGCAGAAAAGTGAGATAGAAACAGAGAGAGGAAGTGAGAAAGAGAAGAGAGGGAAGGAAAAAGGAGGCTGGAAATTTATCCAGGTCTCCTTCATGGGTGCAGGGGGCCAAGTACCATCACTGCCACCTGCTGCCTTTAGGGATGCTCGCTAGCTGAATTGAAGGCAGAGCGTGGAATGCAACTCAAGCATTCTGATACAGGATGCAGGCACTGAAGTGGTCCCTCAACCTGATACAGGATGCAGGCACTGAAGTGGTCCCTCACCTGCGGAGTCACAGTGCTCGCTCTGAGAGACCTTTCTGCGCAGATCTCGGACCTCAAGCATGTTTGCTTTTACACACTGGACTTGGTGGCATTTACTCTTGTCATTTTCATTTGAAGCATGCCAATCTTCTTGTTTGAAACTCAAAGTCGAAATTTATCAGGATTTTTTTTTTCCTTTTTTTCCCCTAAAGCTTCTGAAGCATGGGTTCTCTCATCAACATTCCGAGCATCTACACAGCAAATGAATGTTTCTATGCTTGAAGGTAAGGGGGCTGTGTGTTTTTATTAAACGTTTATTTCGCTTTATTTGAAAGGCAGAGTTACGGAGAGGGGGGGAAGGGAGAAAAAGAGAGAAAGAGAGGGAAAGAAACAGAAAGAATGAATATCTTTTATCAGTTTGTTCACTCCACAAATGGTCACCACAACCGGAGCTAAGCTGAACCGAAGCCAGGACCTTCTTCCAGGTCTCCCATATGGATTCAGGGGTACAGGACTTGGAGCCGTTCTCTGCTGCTTTCTAAGGCCACAGGCAGTAAGTTGAATCAGAAGCGGAACAGCTGGGACATGAACTAGTACCCAGACGGGATGCTGGCGCCACAGTTGAAGGCTTAGCCTACTCCACAATGGTGCTGGCCAAGGGTCTGTATTTTATGAGTAATTTGTCTTTGGCCGCAGGAACAACCTGTGGCCTGCCTGCCTTTCCTGGAATCGGCTATTTTTACTCTGCAGTGGCCACATTTCACATCCTCCTGTGAGCTGGGATCTAAGTGAAGCATACTTACACATTTCTCTGCTGGCTTCTCCTCTCTGCTTCCGGGCTCTCTCCCAGAGCCTGCTACTGAGATTTCACTTCTTCCTCCGCAGTGTCTGGCTTCAAGCCAGGGATGGTAGTAGTGAAATCACCTATTCATTTTTAAGCTAATATTTATTTAAAATTATATGATACGAAGGCATTGTGCTGGAGGATAGAGATAGAGGTAATTCCAGATAAACAGGCAGAAAGAAAATCTTCTTGGATGCCCCTCCTTTATTCTGGCACCTTCCCCTGAGATAATCACCATTATTAGCTGAAGATGATCATTCTAGATCTTTGTGTTATCACTTACATGTATACACAGATACAGAAACGCACAGGTTTATATATTTGAAAAAAATGCTATCAAACTACTCTAGTCTCTAGTTGGCCTTATTTCTTTACATTGCCTATTAGGCCGCTTTCTTTTTTGGTCCAGAGAAATCTGCATTATTATGCCAAATTACTGAAAAATGTTTCATACCATATTTGTTCTTAGGCTCTGTTGCCCCTTGAGGGGTATTCGGGTTCTTCTAGTGTCTTTTTATTATAAATTGTGCTACCGTGAACATCTTGGCTACTGCTTGCCTCTCTAAGCGTTTACGGCAATGTCTAAGGTAGCAACCAAGAGTTAGAAATTTAGCCTGAAAGGAATGTGCACATTTAAGTTGAATAGTTATTACAGATTTGTCTTCCAGCATGGTGGTGCCAATCTATTTCCCCACCCACAGAGTATCTGCTTTCTCCCATCCACCCTACACTTGATGTGACCATTTGTTCAACAGTTTCACATCTCCTGAGGAAAAAAATGTCATCTTGTTCTTTTTGTGTTCTGGTTTACCAAGAGTTTTTTTTTTTTTTAAGGATTTATTTATTTATTTGGATGATTTTTACATAGTTGATTAGGGTGGTTAGGATCAAGGGCTGCAGGGAGGTGGTGATATCATTGTTTCCACATTCTTTTACTTTCCTTCTGCTATCTGGGGAAAGGGGAGAGGTAAGGGGAGAAGACACGCCCAGCCTCCCAAACGCCTCTGCATCCGGAGATGGAGAGGCGCCTCTGGACACCACTCCAGGGTCCCCGCTGTGGGGCATGCTCCGAGGGTCCTGCTCAAGTGGTTTTGGTAGTTCAACAGTTTTGTATTGCTGATGAAATCTCTCCAAACTCCACCGGCTGACATAGTCCACCTTAGAATCTCTGTTTGCCCATATATTCACTGCCAACTCTTGGTTGGAGTGGTTGATTGACTTGTTCTGTCCTCTGTCCTCTGTTGTGGTACCAGGTGTCCTCTGCAGACTTCAGTGTCCTGCCATATCTTCCATGTGCACCTGGATATGCTGTCCACTCCTCCGTCTAAGCTAGAGGAGGCCCAGCTCTGACACATGCACTCCACGGTCAGACCATGGAATGTCATCTTGTTCTTTTCATGTTATGATTAGCAAAGAGTTTTGAGTGTCTTACTTTGTTTATTAGCCAGAAAAGAGCCATCCTTTAACACTGTGAAGGAGGCAACGTGACATCATTCACAAAGGCTCAGAAGACAGGCTTGGAGAAGGCAGACGAGAACGAGTAAATTGGGGATAGGTTTGAACTAAGACTGTATATCTTGATGAAACACGAAGGTGATTTGATGTTGAAAAGCTTTGTCATGCACTAACTCACACCTTGGAAAAGCAGAAAATCTGCACAGGAGTGAACAACTTAAGGAAAACTGGGCATCAAAGCTCCCAGCTCTCCGTGTGTAACAGCTGCAGAAAGACGGGAGTGCCGCGCTATTTCCTTGCAGACGAGAAGGTGGTGACTATGAAAGTAAGAAAGGAGGAACAAAATGTTAACTTGTGTTTAATTCTTAGATTATTTTGTGCTGAATCACAGGGGAACAAAAGATTATCAGATATTTCATTCTTATCTCAAATATCTGTGACAGTTCCCATTTCACTCATTCTTGATTACATTCCAGAAGACAGAACACTTGTGCAGTAATAGTAAAGAGAAGCCTTTTGTCTGTTTTTTAAAGTTATTTTTATTAAAAAGAGTTACAGAAACAGAAGAAGAGACAGAGAAGAGAGAGCTTTCATTTCCTGGCTTAGCCCCCACCCTATTTCACCAAATTACTGCAATGTTTGGAGCTGCGTTGATCCAAAGCGGGGAGCCAAGAGTTTCTTCTGGGTCTCCCACATAGTTGCAGGGGCCAATGGCTTAGGCCATCTCCCACTGCCTTCCCAGGCACAATAGCAGAGAACTAGATTGGAAGTGGAGCAGCTGGGACACAAACTGGTGCCCATATGGGGTGCCAGCATTGCAAGCAGAGGATTAGTATGCTGTGCCACCATGCCAGCACCAGTGTAGCTTGCTGATCAGTCAGCCTCCACGTAGCACTTAGTCTTTCTTCAGGAGCAAAGGTTTATTAAATACAAATTGTGTGCTGTGTCAGTGTCAGATGTTCTCATTAATCAGCTGTTAATCCCTGTTTAAGCCTTACTCTTGTCTCTATTATTCCTAAAATTTCCAAAACTTCACATAGCTGTCAATCTAACATCTAATTCTGATTTTGTGCTCTTAGATATTACTTTCTTTCACTTATCCTTCTAGTCTGAAATGAAAAAGATGTGGTTCTTTTCATTTACCACCCTACCTTGTTAGGTATTTTGCAATGAAACACTCATTGTCATAACTAAAGTTCCCACCCCCTGAGGACTCAACTGTGTCAGGTGCAGGTTTTTAAGTGCAACTTCTAATTTGAATCTTACAGTGTCCTTCCAGGCAGGTATAGATATTACCCCCACTTGACAGGGGAAGAAGTGGAGCATCAGAGAATTTATAGGAGAAGCTATTGCCTTCTTGGGTCTTTTTCTTAACACTACGTTTTATCTCTTGAATTTTCACAAATTAGAAAGCAGTTTTCGTCTTCATTTTGGAATCCTTCCTTTAATGGCTCAGTATAAGCTAGACCTGTCTTGAACCCTATTTCTTCCTCCTCTGAACCCATTTGTTCCTCCTCTGCTGCTTCCTACAGATCTCCCTCCTTGAGCTGCTTTTACAATCAGATGTCCTCTTTCTTTCTGGAAAATGACCGCAACCCATTTCACAGTGCTGCATATGTCCATGGAGTTTTCTTTGCCTGTATAATTTTCTTAAGTTCTTTCCCCAGTTCTTCATGTAATTTTTGGATGATGAGACCTCTGTGGTTGTGAATTGGTCTAAATCAACTTTAATTAGGGTAGAAATTCCTTCTCTTCCCTTCCTGGATGGCTGTTAGAAATGGGTCTTGGAGAGGTGGAGCAAGTTTGCCTAGGGCTCATAGCCAGACTGTGTGAGAATTAAAAGTCTCACTGCAGTTCCAGGAACTTATAAACTGTGGCCATCAGCTCCTCACTGGGGGTTGTCTATGGACATGAGCTCTCTGAAATTGTATTTCTCTCCCAAATTCTGCAAGACCGCAAGGGATGGAAATCACAATTCAGTCACAAATAATGAGCACAGTGATGAGGACACCATGTAAGTTTCTTCTCCTTCTCTATGGGATCTGCTACAGGACCGCAGAGTCCTACCCCTTCAGGAGGATTATTTTATTTTCTGATTGGTAGCAGGAATATGTTAAATGATCCCCAAATGCTCCATAAATCCCCAATTTCTGTCGTCTGTGGAGTCTAGAGCCAGAGCAAATGGAGATGCACGACTATGCTATTTCTTGAGAGCTTGTTTGGAGGTTCTAACAGGGGAGCGCAGCTACTCATATACCCTTGACCGAAGACCAGTCCTCCTCTAGCGGGGATGGTCGTCCTCTTCGACCGAGCGCGCAGCTTCGGGAGGGACGCACATGGAGCGGTGAGGGAGGAAGGGGACACCCACCTAGCCAGCCAGATCAGCCGAATCAACCCTGGCGATCAATGGGGTGACAGATGTCGCAGCCAGATCGCCCTCACATCCAACTATGCTATTTCTTAAATGCAATCAGTGGCCTGGGATTAAGGCCCATGTCGATTGTATCTCAGGTTTATATTACTGCCTCAATAATGTGTCAAGGCCTATGTTTCTTGATGTAACTTGACATGGGAGGGATATAGTAAAAAAGGGTGGAGGGCAGGTAGGTTGTAAGTGGAGATATGAGGGCAGGGGTCAGGACAGAGTAATCAGATGTCTTGTTGACTCTCTGGAACGGAGGAGAAAAATGTGGAACCAAGACCTTGAACTTAAGACATCACCCAGTGTGGGAATGTGATTCCTGGACTGGGGCTGGAATCACTGAGAGCTTAGTAAAACTGTAGACCTTCCTGGTATACTCAAGAAATGCAAAATTAGGATCTTTGAGAGGAGTCAGAGATTCTGTGTCTTACAGACTCCCTCAGAGGAGGAATTTCTGGTGCAGTTCACTCTATTTCACAGAAAAAGAAATTCAGCCACAAAAGTAGTTTTGTAGTGGAGTGAGCCCTAGGTCTAGCACAGGACTTGCTTCACCATAGGCTGCA